TGAGTCCAAGAGCGAAAGGGGAACATCACCTAATCCATTCGTGGCTTCTGCTCTGGTATCCCAGGAAACCAGCTGCAGCTGCTTGGTTCAACTTGTGTACTATGGCAAAAATGTCTGCAATCCAGCTCTAATAACCAGCATTTCTACAACTGCTAAGTAGCATCAATAAAGCAGAGCAGCAGCTCCTCTATAGAATCTGGAGCATGAACTGCACATGCAGGAGGAGCATGGTATGTCCGGGGAGCCAAGGCACTCCCACCTCAGAAATGTTTTGGCCAGGTCATCAGGCACTTCCTACATGAGATCTGCAGAGACAACAGTATAGAACCGAGCTCACTTGCACAGAGCAGCCTAACGAAGTAAGGGAGCATGCCATCCCAGGATATCCCAAGTCACTTGGTTCCCTTCCTTGGAACGAACACTAGTGACTCCTTGGCCATCTAACTCAAGAAAAATTTCCTTAACTTCATTAAGTACCTGTAGCTCTTTCCCAAAATAGAAGCAAAAATCATCAGCTGCAAGACTTTGTCTGGCAGCATTTCATTTGTAATTTCAATGTCCTAACAGCCATGGTCTCCAGCTAAACTATTAGGTCACTAGCTTCTAGACTAGTCGAAACAACATAGAACAGTCTAAAAATCCAAATTTATTTCAGGTGCTACGTGTGCCATTTCAGCCTGACACTTCATAGCCTTGAAGTGTTCATCTGTCTGTACAGGAAAGATACAGAGAAGACAGCAAACCAACTACCCACACTCCAGAAGTCAGCTTTTAGCCTCTTGGATTCTTCTCAGAAGATGCTTTCAGATAGCCGTATCTAGTCCTATATTATTTTTCAGTGTGCTACACAGTTCAAGTGGTACTTACCAAACTGCTATAATGCAAAATGAAAAAGGCTGTAGGGGAAACAGAGATTTACAAGGTTAACTGAGAAAGTCAGTCACTCACCTTCCTGCTAACATGAAAGATGAACAGTACTGAGCTGCACTGTGGTACTCCCAACCAAAATGGTCTGCAGAGACCTCAGGTAGGTCTCTGGTGTCCATCTCTACACATTACTTTCAGCATCTCATCTGCATGCACTGCAAATTGTTTGCACAAATGCCTATATTCATTTACAAGGGATGACCAAACCACATTTAAAGCCTTTCTTTTGTTGTTCTGTTCCTCCCCATCAAAATACACAATGCAAGTTCAGCTGCCTTAGGTTTTTTTATTAAAACCTACCAGGCAGTATCAGGGACAAAACAATGGACCGAGCAGACAAACAATTGTGATTTAGTGCATAAATCAGTATTGGGAAAGACAGCAAAATTAAAATATGACAGTTTGATTCAAGTATCAACTGCTGGGAAGTAACTTCATATTAGTGCCAAAACCAGATTTGGAGATTCTTTCAAGCTGATTTTCTGTACAGTCAGCTTCACTCTACTGTAGCACAAAGAGCCTGTCAACAGTGAGGAGGCATTTTAAAAATAACAGAAAACGTTACAGTGAACTCATTACAGCACTGAGGAAGCTCAGGGGGGACTATATGGTGAGCACAGGTGGAAAGTAGTTTGAAAAGGAGATTAAAGATGTGGCTTGGACTTCTCAGTTTGGGAGGGAGATTTTAATTCCAAGAAGGTATTGTAAAGAGAAGGCAGTACCCTTGCAATCTTTGTTACGGTTGTCCAGGAGAAGTGATAGTAGAAAGCCTCTGCCTCACTATCTGAAAAACTTCTATTGAACTAAGTTCAAAATATCTCTAGAAACATGAACTTGTGTCCACGTTTTTCTCATTAATGAGGATGTCTTCCTTCCCCAGCCATCTTTGAAGAACATGACGTATCTTCTCAGCATCAAGCTTGCTCACTACCAACACGCCTTCTCCCCACTGCTACAGATGTTTGAGGTGGCAGCTATCACGATGCTACATGTACTGTTCTGCTTGTGCAAATGGCTGCAGAGTACCAGCTGTGGAGGGAAACAGCAAGGCACTGGAAGCTCAATGCCAAAACAGTCCCAGAGCTTGTCTACACTTATAGCTTTAAAAAAAACAAGTGAGGACCAGCAGGTACCGAAAGAGCAGCTAACCAGTTGGACACCAAGCAGGGCAGCTCAGGGTCCCACTGGAGTACCACAGGGAACGTGCTGTCACGGTAGGACACAAGAGGCCATCAGAATCAACCACGTCAAACAGATTGTTAAGAACCAGATGAATAATGACAGCATGGGCAGCACTGTCACTGGCATTTGAACCCCTCCAAAACTAAAATGCATGAACTGTTGTCTCCTACTTCTTACACTCAACTATGGGTCTGATAAAGCTTCAGTATTCTAACTTAAGAAATGCTTCAGCATCAAAACACTGTAAGCCCTAAGCAAGAAGTGAAGTATAGACCAGCAGAGGCTTGTCCTCTCACCGCTCCGGGCACCACCTGCAGCCACGTAACAAACTAGCCAGAAAGCCCTTCAATTTTAACTTAAATGCTTTATTTTGGAAAAAGTGACAACTTAAACCTTTATTTTTGGAGTTAAGTGTCAACAGTTCAGGATGTGTAAGGATACACTTACACTGAGCAGCCACTTGGTTCTTTCAGAAAGTGTGGGATATACAGGAAAAAATCCAACCAGGAGCCTTTGGTTACTACTGAAATCCTGAACAAATCCTTGTTACCTTTCCTAGGAGAAACCTCATGACAGGACAATTTTGTATACTGTCAGCTGTGGGTTTAAGTGTTGATAAACTGAAAACTGCATGCATACATGTACTCTCTCAGTACTCTTCTACTCTAGGAGACAAAAAAACAACCAGGGTTTTCCTTCCTTTTCCAGCCTGAGCAATATCTTAGCAGCTGTAGTGCAGGGGGACAGCAACAGGGAAAAATAATCTAAGCAAGTTAAATTAGTGACCTACCTGCTTGTTTAGTGATAAAGGCAGCCAAGCCAGCAATTTTTGACCAGATTTAGTGATCACCTGATTTACAATGTAGACTTCAGAAGTATGGCTTCGGCACCACACATGCCTCTACAGAGGATGTCATTAACATCCCACATTTAACTTTTTGGGAGAGTGGAAGCAGCAAGCACTCACCAGAAGGCAGCTCTTCCACAGCCTAGTTACAGCAGAAAAACGCCAGCCTTTGCAGCACACTGGGCTTTCAAGAGAGCTCTAATTCACTTACATTTGCATACCACAAGCTGTACAGTAACCATCGTTTTTGCACCTCATCAATAACCACAAACCCCTTGTTGCACTTCTGAGCTGGGTTAACTTTGCAGGTTTTTGAGCACCTGGCAAGTCACAGCCTCGTTGCACTGGACACTACACAATCATTAACACAGATCTCGCCCTTGAAATACAACAACTGCACGGACTGCCACCTGCAAAAGGGGACAAGTTTCAAAATATACTCCTTTACACTCCATATGAAGGGATTAACCTCATTAGAATACCAGATTGTTTGCTGCTCAAGTTACTTGGCAGTATTTTCAGTTAGCCTCTCCCCAAAAGCGAGCGTATCAACGTATGAAAGCAGAAAAAGATTAATCAGATGCTGAAATCAACACTGGGCCACTAGCTACAAGGTCAGCTCCAGGTGCTTTTCAAAACACCACAGCAAAAAAACTTTCGAGTCAATTTGGGCTTCATAGGGAAAAGTAGTTTCTCCTGCTGGCAAGGTGTCTCCTGTGCTAGCAGTGAATACACTGGCAGCTTTGCTGAAGATCCAGTATGTTTTATGGCTTCAAAGTGTTTAACAACAAGTATCTGGAAGACATCTACATAATTAGTTATTGTTTAGTGTTGCTCAGCAAAGTCATGTCATCTTTTCAAGACAGAAAGCCTACAGAGATACAAAGGTTGAACTTGCAGCCTGTATCAGCTGCAAGTGGGACAGCATTTCAGGCCCAAGGCTCCTGGTCTTCCTCAGAGCTAGAAACTGAGGAGTCAGATGCTGGGGAAGTGACCTCAGGAGCATCCAAGCAATGACATTTGCAGCACAAGCTCCTTGATGTTTGCTGCAACGGTGCCCAGCCTTGCAGGGCACTGTGTCTGCGGATTTTGTATTTCACATAGGGCCATTTTACCAGGTGCAGCCATCAGGATTAAAATGCTGTCATTCTCCTATCAGCAGGGAAAAAAACCAAATAAATTTTCCTCAGCAAATCCAAAGCAGGGTAACCCATACCACGCACTAAGCCATATGTGCTGCAGGGTTCACATTCATTGCACAATCCCTTCTGCACTGGACATTGCAGCCTATATTATATGGGGTTTTTATGCTTCTGCTCTAATCTCCAAAATAAACATACAAGGCAGCATATCTAATTACATTTAATCTCATTTGCTTTTTTTACTGTGAACAGTTAGCTTTAAACACAGCTAGTGCAACATCTGATTAATGATCATGGAAGTCTGCACCACTAGTTCATTATCCTTACAGCTCAGTAGTTTAACACAAAAAGCCATAATAGCAAGATTTTTAATTTGCAAATTAAACACTGACTGGTCTGACATTCTTGTACATGTTATCATAGGACATTAAAGTTGCTTCCAATGTGAAATGATGTCTTTAAAATCACAGCTTCATCCAGGAGACAACTGACTACAGCAAACTAATGAGAAAATTTCACTGGAAAAAACCTAAGAATATGCAAAAAAAAAAAATAGTCACTCAGTGACAAAGCGTTTATAAGGATGGATTTTAAAGTAATCTTCCTGTTACACTGAAAGATCTTCTCCCAGAAATTCATGACTAGGCAGTGATCACAGAGTAGTAATAGGTTGAGGGTACCTCCTTACCCTATGTGAAACAGAAGAGCCCTCCAAAGAGATAAGAACAGATGTTTAAACAGGAAAAAGGATCCTGCACTCTCCAGAAGAGATTAATTAATAGCTACTTACAAGTAGCTCTATCCTTAGATTTTCTGGACACTGTTAGAACCGGATAAGCATTGCATGTGTGAGCATGCCAGGTCTGGTGCTTCCAAAGCGAACCTCAGGAGACAGTGCTGACCTGGGGACCCACCCTGGGAAACTCCAGGTGGAAAGCCAGGATTCTCCACACGTTCCTCCTCAGTAGTGCTCCGTGACCTGCCCAACAGAAGCAACAAGGAAGGAAATGCCTTGACACGTCCTGAACATTGAATTCTGGGAATTTAATACTGAACTCAAGGTTACACGCAAGCATGTGTATGAGGCTGACTCAGAGCCTGCCTGAAATCCTGTACATGACCACTTGTACCAGGCGTTTGTTCAGATGATTGTCCTATTTTCCTCAAAAAAACCCACAACACTAAAATGGGACACCTTATTCAGTCAGCTGGCACTGGGGCATTTAGCCCAAAGGCACTTTAACTTGCATCCTCCACCTTCTGGGTGGATGCCCTACCCTAAAGGGCATGAAGCACAGCTCTCTTCAGCTTTCCCCCTGGCGTCAGGCCACTGCCCAGACAGGAATGCAAAAGCCCAAGCCAGAAGACAAAAGGAGCCTGACTGCTCAGAGCACAGACCCTGGAAAAAGCTGTCAGGATTATAAATATTTCACACTGGAAAGTGAGCTGACAAACAGGAGCAATCCCTCCTTCCAGCTGAGCACCTTAGGCTACAAAGGCACATTCACACACTGCTGGCTGGTTTTGGCCCTTCCCCACCACACAGCCAAGAACCCAGGGGGCAGAAGTTTCAACAGGGGGAAGGAAGGCTTCCACAGTATAAACTCAGTCTGATAACTATGTTACTCACCCCCAAAAAACAGAAGATATGGGCTTAGTCCCTTCAAGGTGAGGAGGGAATTGAACACATATCCAAGCAATAAGCCAAGGTTGACCAGTGCTTTTGGCCGAGAGCCACGTATTAAATTTCTTGCACAAGCCAAAGCCCTGAGGAGGGCACAGTTGTCCTCAGACAAGAGATGGCAGAGTCTCACTATGAAGCTGAGCACTTAAAATAAGTGGGGTGGCCCTTAACACCACTCTTCTCTACTGAAGTTGTTGACACTTCAGGCACCTCTGCACAATTTTAGTTCTTTACCCTACTTACCACAGATTGCTCTAAAACTGTGATAAGAGTTACAAGGCAAGATCGTATGGGATAAAAATATTGCAACAAAAGCATAGCAGGGATTATTTAAGAAGCCTGTATTATTCCTTAACTTTAAGTAGAACTTTGACCTTGAACAACCAAACTTGCCTAGAACAAATGCATCTGAGAAAAAAAGAACAAGGAATCAAAATCACAAAGTGAAGGCCTCTCCAGCATCCTAGCAAAGCTAAACAACCTCCGGATCAGACACCCAAGATGTCTGAACACCAGTTACCGTTCCTCTTTCATCATAGCTATGTGGTAGGGTATGGGCATGGGTAAACAAAAATCACAGAATGGGATCCAGCAATGCAACTCACAAATTCGCATAGAACCGGACACAGATGCTTTGTTTTCTTTGTGACTGTGAAGCTTCCTTCCATTATGGAGTACAAAATACTCCATACTTCGGCAAGGAGGCTTATCAAGCACTCTTAAAAGCCTCCTATGTCAAGTGGGAACACAACAGCTTGGGAGCTGAAGAAGAGATCCAAGCTCAGGGCTGGCAATCTGGCTGAAGTGACCAAGTATCCTTCCGAACGAGTTCCCACTCGCTGTTCAGCATTAATACCAAAATAAAAGCATAACAGGTCAGCACAAAAAATTTCAAAGGTTTGGTCAAGAGTTAAACAATAAACAATCACCTGTGTTTTGATAATTATTGCTAAGCAACATTAAGGCCAACAGGTTAGCAGAATTCAAAAGGGATTAGGCATTATATGGTTAATAAGAACATCCACAATTACATTAGCTAGGATGAAACAGTTTATAAAAGGATTAAAGGAATACCAAGCCCTGTGGCATGAGTCAGCCACTATATCATAGATAAATTGTTCTTTCTGATTGTTTTGCTTAGCGTAGAACAGTGGAAACCATGCCCATTGTTCTAGCAACTGTTAGCTAAATCACACCAAGGATTAGGCTACAGTAACCAAAAATCAAACTAGATTTCACTTGCTCAGGTTCAAGCTTCTCTAGTGGGCTTGTTCAACTGTGTATTATATTTATCTTGGACTAAAATCAGCTCAGGCCAAACTTTAGCTGATTTATATTCACAAATGCTTGCAACACATTAAACTAGAATTGAGACATTTAAGTCACAGAAGTTGTTGTGATTCACCCTCAAAGCCAGATCATCACAACGAAACTCCCAGACCATCACAATGAAATACCTAAGTAAGCAATTCCCTGCTGATTTCAGTAACCAGTTACTACCTGAAGCTAGAGGGGGGAAAAAACCCCAAAGGTTTCTAACAAAGCTTGCCTTGTCCTGTCCTAAAACAGATCAACCAGAGAACCAAGACCCTTCTCCATTCAGTAGAAGCTTTGTCACCAGTGGTAGGAATACTCACCCCTTTTAGATGAGTTTAACCACTTTGACCTCATACCTTGGACTCCAAGCTTTTGGCCCTTCGCAAATCTGATAGACTAATTAAAGATGTGCAGAACCCAAATATTTTTTTCGCAGCCTGCCCTCCTTGTGTCTACAAAGAGCAGCTTAATTTGCCATTAGCCCCATGAAACGGTAGAGGAATTCAGTCAAAGGAGCTATAATTACCAAGTCATCTCCAGCTGAAGTGTCAGCTACCATATGCTCTCTTCAGAAAACCCAGACTACTCATGTGCCTAGTTTATAAAGCTCCCTATATCAAGCTTCATTTTGACAAGAGGGTGGTTTTGATTGTACCAGGCCTTTTTGGAAATTTGAGCTGTTAAAATAGTGAAAGGAGACAGATTAAAAAAATAGCTGATCCAAACAGTAGAGCAAGTCCACTGCAAATACAGAATTCAAAGAGTTTACATCAAGCACTTCAGGTTTCATCCCATACTCCCTCACATTTTAAAATTAAATATTATTTGCCCACTATAAGAAAGATTTGGAAAATGTACCATTCTACTCCCAGAGGTGATCTGTGAACCTTAATCTGTTGATCAGTGTCAGATGAAGTCTCAGAAGCCTTAAGAAGTCTGAAGTCTTGTATCTGAGATTAGCACTTTCAGTGTAAGAACACCTTGAAGGGTCAGAGGGAGATGTGAGACAGGTTAAAAGCTTGTAAGCCAGAAAGAGGTGAACAAACTAACGAGGTATTTTTGCCATTGCTCTTTCAGCAAAAGCTACTCGTAAATTAAAAAAAATAAAAAAACAACCTACCATCGGTATCTGCATTACACCAGGGACTGCAATTTTTAACTATAACATTTCAGTACTGCAGAAGCTGATGTCACTCGCCAAGGAAAACTTCCCTCTAATTTGGCAAGGCTTCAGAAGTCCAAACAACTATGAATTGTAACACTGGCTTACTTGTTAGTACAGGAAGTTAGAAGAGATTTTGCCTATGCTAAACAATATGGCTAAAAAGAAATAGCTGTTCAAATGATCAAAGCTTTGAATGAAATAATCAGAGCGCCAAACTGCATCTTCATCACAGAAATGTAGATCTGCCCAGCATCCTGATCACTACCAGTAGAGCCAAGTATATTTTAAACATGCAAGTAAAAAAACCCTACCATATATATAGTGCCTGTTCCTATATCTGTAGGGTAGGATTCTTCCTAAGAGAAAAAAAAACAGGGAAAATGTCATAGGAAATTGATCCTGCTACCAGTTTTCACCACTTACTAGCCTTTGCAGCAAAAAGTAGCTTATGAGTTTTCCACTTCCATTTGAACGAAGGCTTTCACTACGAATTTTCACAAGTTACTACACAAAGAGGAGCTCAGATATCAGCTATTAGATGAGAAGCAAAAAACGTACACCTAGTCTTCTGTAACTTCTCCAAGCACCTGGTGTTCTGCTTAAGATTCAGTGCCTGTAGAAATACCTGTCATAGTTGGCAGTTCAGAATATGCTTGTGGCAGCAGGAAACAATTGGCTCAAACTCGGCTTGTTTTATTCAGTCAGGCTTTCTCTGGGGCTTGGTGGTTTTTTTTTTTGTGCCAACGTGAAAGAAAATTAAGTGCTCCATAAGGAAAGTAAAAAGATCAGAACTTAGCAGTTTTACCTACAGAACCACAAAACAGCACATGCAATCACAATTAGCAAAACACACATGGTAAGGTGTCTCAACTTCTCACCACAATAAGCACTACAAGGACCTAAGCCAATCCCCGACACAGTTGCAGCTCCCGCAATTTAGCTCTGACATGGAATACGATTCTCATATCTGCTTGCATATAGAGTTTCTCTTGCACTGGGGTTTGGCTGCAATATTTGTAATACTACATCAAACAGCGGGGCTGCAAAATGAAGCACTCCAGGAGCACTGGCATTCACACCACATTCAGAAGCCACTTTTTTTGGGAATGAACACACCCTGGGAGGTCAGTGATTCTCCCCAGGGATCCTGCTTTGTGCAGCAAGAGGGCAGCCAGACACACTGCCAAGACACGGGAAGAACCATCAGGGTTGCATCATGCAGGAATCCCACCACGGAAGGCAGCAGCTCCCTATTGTAGTCAAATCAACTCCCTGTGAAAACCTCAAGGTGCTCATCACTCCTGGTTCTTCTGTCAACCCGTCGCCATTTCTCAATCTTAACATTTGCTAGCTATTTTCCTAGAGATATTTAAGTGACTGCAGTTGCTAAGACAACCGCTTCATCAACACCAGCACCTCAGCTCATCTATCTTGGGCTTCCCTTCCGTTCACCATGACTTCTAGGAAATCAGCTGCCAGAAACAGTAATTTTAAGATCTGGCTTTTTTTTTTTTTAAAACTTTTAGTAGCCTTTGAGATCTTCTGTCCTAATAATCTCCAGTTCCTTTCGTAGGAACAGATTTGTTTTAACTATACCCTCAGAAGTGGTTTCCTGTAAAGCTGGAAGAAGTCCGATAGCTTTAATTCCAAGGCACTGAGGTGATGAAGTGGAAGATGCGATCAGAGGTATACATCCAAACCAGGGTTACACACACCTATGCTGTCACTTCCAATAACTCACTGAAATCTCCTTCTGTTTTGTTGTCTGTTACCAAGAGAAGCAGAGAATGACTCAATATTTCTTATAATACTTACCAAGCTGAGCTAGGCACCTTGAAACGCACGCCCATATGGGTGTCTTTTAAAAAAAAATAATAATCACAGAACTGCCACAAAGAAATTAGTAAGTGGATAATCCCTACAGCTATATGCATGTTTTAACTAAGGGAGCCTTAAGCTGGCAGACTCTCCTGCCGTGGCAGCCATGGAACCTGGTGGCCAATTCAGTTAAGCTCTGCAAGCAGTTACGTCCTCCTAGAAACTGTGTGATATCTCCTGAGTTTTACAACAGTATAAGTAAGGGAAATAAGACCCTGCGTAGCCCTCCCCTTCCCCTAATTCATCTGTGTAAGACCCAAAAAGGAAGGCATCACAACAAGAGCTTTAATCATTATTTACATCTTATAAAATACGGGATAAACCAACAGAAAAAACAGTTAAGCCAGGTTTGGTTAAGTTCTACCAACACCAAAGCTACTGGTGTCTTTGCACCATACCAGTATCTTTGTGGCCCTCGCTGCTGTGAGTTAAAGATCTACAGCTGCAACTGCACCAGCTTTGCATCTGTTAGTGTGGACACTGGCACTGGTCTAACCATGGCAACGTGGGATTACGCATGGGCTGCAAAAAACCAGCTCCTAAGCTGGGTCAATTCACAACTGGTGTTAAATATCACATTGTCACTACCAGATCACTGCTGTGCTTGAGGCAGGTCAAATGGGCCATTGCTGCAACGCAGACACACTTAAAGCACTATAAAGTGATCTCCACGGTTTAGTACCGCGGACCTTGGTGGCTTGCCATGGTTGACACAGCGTCATTGGAGAAAGCCCCCAGTATTCCCTTCACCGCATCTATTAATACAAGGTTAGCATAACTAGAGCAGGAGACAACTTTATATTCTGCCTGAAACTCAAAACTCGACACGGCAATCACATTAAGCTGTGACCAAACATTATTTTAACAAATAAGTACGGTACAACAGCATTTATCAATGCATTTATAATTAAAGCAAAAGAAGCCTCCAGCAGTTAGAAACACCAGCTTCCCTTATACAAGGAAAGGTACCTGCAGGTCAGTTGTGCTGTAGTTTTCTATTTAAAGTGCTTGCTAAGTGTAGAATTTGGCTTCCTGCCCATGTGTTTTAAGCTCAGTGTTGTGGCATAGCCTGGGTAATTGCACTTCGGGTGACAAGCACAACAGAACTTGGAGGCATGTCAGTAATACACTCCAAACCTCATCGTCACTCACTAGAACCAAATCTTGCCTTGGGAAGGCACCAGCTCCAGGAGGCACCACACCAGGCAGCTTCCCCAGCCGTGCCGTGGTGCTGCGAGTCGTTTCACACCTCCACACTCCACATCAAATCCCACACGCCGCTTTTGCTACGCTAAGAGGCTTTATTTTGAACCTGCTCTTCAAAGCAGAGGGGAGAAGACCTGGGGTGGTGGTAGGAGAAGAGCACAGGGGCTGGAACAATTAAGAGAGTGCAAGAAAGAAATCCCAGAGGTGGGGGGCAAAGAAGTTGGGCAGCTGTGAAATCAGCGCAGACCCCTCTGACATTTCAAATGACGAGGCAGCCAAGGCATTTCTCTGCCTCCTCCAAGGAGAAGTTTACCCAGATTCTCCCTGATGCACTCTTTCCGAGCATTATTTGTGAAGCCTGCATAGCACACGTCTCCCTCAGCAAGCCTACATACCCCAGGCCCTGACTCGATGCCTTTCTCTGCAACACCAGGAATGTCCCCCTCTCCTCCCCCAGGTTAAGTTACACAACCCCAGCTTTATTTTTTGCTCATAGAGAATTGCTGCAGCTGCCTCACGGACAAAGTCTGTGCAGAGGAGTGTGACTTGTCAGTACATCAGGATCTGTGCTGGGGCGCTTCAGGAAACTGCTCAGGTTTTTATTTTTAAAAACCAGGAATAAGCAGAAGTCCTTAGTCCAAAAATCTCTTTGCTTTTGTGCTTAAGCAGCCTGAAAGCTATTCACTTGACAATTTCTTCAGCTATTCCAAATTTAAGTGCTGTACTTGTAAACATACAAGTTGAATTTGTTTTGGAAGAAAGCTTTCCCCTGTGCTATTTATAAAAAGCAAAATGCTTTCTACCTACAGATTTAGTCAACTATGCTATTATAAGATAGGCCCATTTTATGTAAAAATGTTAATTTATCCAGGATCATGAATACGAACCCATTACAGATAAGACTTTCAGTCCCTATCCTGTTTACTAAATTATACTGCCTCTTACTGTTGTCAAAGAACATTTTGGCCCTACCTTGCATTCAGCCAAAGCTGTACAAAGCCCCCATACTTCTACACGACTCTTCCAATCCCAGCCCTGTGTCCTTCAGATGAGGACCTCTTACACTCACCAGCAGACCTAGAACAATGCACTGCATTGGCTCTTTCATCCTGTTTGTGCAGCATCCACAGACTATTCTCGACAAGTGCCACGCTTCACCCACACAAAGGGCCGAACAGATGATGAATTCTGGATTGTGCATCCCTTTCACCCGGTCTAACGTCGGATGGTAGCAATTCACATTCAGAGGAAATGTGACAACAACAATATTTAATGGCTTTACCAAACAGAGCTCAACCAAACATGTCCCGGAGAAAGCTTTGCTGGCTGCTACCTAGCCGACGACAGAAGTTGGTTGGCCATACAAGCAACCAGCAACAGACACAAACCTTTCTTGGAAGGAAGAGGCTGATTTCACATAAACCCTCTTATCTCAAGCTGACATCACCGAGCTATTAATCTGCAAATTAAGATCCAAATTCAACACATCACCCAAGCAGGCTTTAGGCTCCGCCTAAATTTTGTCACCCTCAGTTTTTCTGCATTACTACACACATTGTAGTCTAAGATGACTGAAGTCCCTTCCAAGCATAGCAATTCTCCTTTCCAGTGTCACCATCATCTTCTGCCGTAACACACCACCTTCATAATTTTATTTTCATAGAAAGATTTAGAATATAGTTTAGACCCACAACAGTGCAAAAACCTCATTATTAATACCATGTTTGTTTGAGGAAACATACTGTATCTGCTGTTCTTTCCAGAGCACAGAAGTCACTGTTCTATACTTAATAAAAGAAGGGAAGAAAATGCCCAAAACTTATACCCCCTGCTATGAGCTAACGCATGCCTGAAAAAACAGCTAGATCACAAATAAACTGGTGCGTACAATAGTTAAAGATACAGAACTGATGTAGCCTTCAAACACTTCAAGAGTTTCTTTGTATCCACTAAATCGCAGAGGTTTGCGAGATTTGCTAAGTACAACTCACAGGTTCTCCCTAACACCACCTGCAAGCATACTTCTGTTTTAATAGCAGAAACTAGCCACTTTAGAAGCATTGGTTAAGAGCAGGCAGGTCAAAAATACTTCACCGCTCTCTTGGAAATAGGTGAAAGTCATCCACATGCTCAGCAAATCTAATATCTGCAGAGGGAAAGATGAAACAGAACAAGACTGAGACACCAGGAGCTCTAATCAGGTCACATGTGGTAACCTTATGTCAGCCCTCAGTCATGACCCAGTCAGTGCAGGACAGGAAAAGAGATGGAGGAAGAGGGAGACACCTGAGATGGGCATGGATTAGCAGAGACCCCAAGACAGATTAAGATGTCTGGTACCATCATGATGAAGGTCTTTTGCAATCATAAGCATACTAGAGCCTTCACACCTCCGCTGTTGCAAAGCCAACCTCACAGTATGTGGCATTACCTACCTGGACAGCAGGCAACATCTCTAGTATGGTGCATGTGCTGCAGATTGCTGAAGATAACCGCACGTGACATTTCACTGCACCCCCACGAGGCCTGGGAACAGGCAATGACCTGCTCTGGGATGGTTACTCACAACCATTACCACAACCTGACCTGATCCACCACTTATCAACGTGCCTACAACCCCCAGCAGGCAGCTCTGCTAAGGTGGACAGCACATACCTACAGTAGCCAGCCCAGCTGTGGTCTCCATGGACATTACCATTAAGCAGCATGGCCTTTTGCAGCTCTTGTTGATTGCCAGCGTGCTACTTAATTGTCCCTTGCAAATAAAATATGGTCGAAGAGCCCAAGCAGAAGCTTATCACTCACACCAGAGACATGAAACAAAGTGAACAACTAAATACATAGTAAGAATGGGATAAGCTTGCAGCTTGGATAAAAAAAAATAATGATTAACTTCAAATGAAATTCAAGTACCACCTCTAACAGCACTAGAAAGAAAGCAGCCAAGACCTTCTTACCCCATCCCTCCTTAGTAGCAGCCAATACAACTACATCCTCTTTCCAACTGGAGAATAGCCATGGATGATAAGGGTTCGAGACCGAGAACTGTGTTATTACTGTCATTTAAAATAGATGTCCCAAAGTGACATTCCACAATGACCCTCCTGAGGGCCCTCCTTTAGCCCCTGATGTGTCCACCCATAATCATCCGAGAGTCAGAAAAAACTTCAGTATTAACAAATTTTCAAAAAATAATCCAGCCAGTTCCAAAACGTCAAAGCCCAAGGGTTCACAGACTCAGTGAAGTGTATCCCATCTATCCAGCTTCTCCCAGTAGTGCCACTATTTCTGTTTTTCAGGACAAAGGCAGCCAACTTCTTCCACACAAATGAAAGACTGCTACCAGCAGGGGAAAAAAAAAATAAATCAGTTAAGTTTCACAGAAAGCATATTAGTCAAATTTTGAAGCCTTCAGGTTTCTGGCAGACACTGAGAAATGGAAATCATTCCATATGTTGGTATCAAAACTCTCATTTTTGCATACTCCAATGGAGATCGTACAGCAATATAAATGCCTAGTTGCATTTAGAAGTTCACTGGTCTTTCAAAAAAGAAGTGACAACAGGTCCTCTGTAGAGAATTGCTTAAACATGACTACAGTTCTCTTAAGAAACAGCCACTTGACACTTACAGAACTGTACACAAGAAACATTACCATCATCCACTGAATTTGAACACTAAGTTTTCAGCAAGAGTTGAGCCCCAGTGCCTATTCTGCATGGCATTTTGGGTAAGAGCCACCACAAAAAAAAAGAAAGAGAGGTTAGGCAGAAATCCCACTGAAGTGGCAATATTATTAAGAACAGACAAGGCCTTTTCTCTCCACCTTAACCAAAAAGTGGCATGCACCTTCATCTGAAACATTTGGGTATGGCATTTTGTTACCACATGAATGACAACTTAGAAGGGATTTAGATAAAAGCTACAAGAGACTTAAAAGGTGCAGAAGAGGCATTAGCCTCTCAAGTTATACTACTTAATGCGCCACTGAAAGGCATTCAGCTACTAAGTGTGGGTACACTTACTATTCTGCAAGAGAAATAATCAGGAGCACCTAGATGAAATTCAGTTTTCTTCAATACATTATAAGAAGCCCATTCTTTTAATAAAGGTGGGTGCTTTCAGAGATAAGTTATTCTAGCCAAGATAAGCAAACACTTGCACACCAGTGTAGTCTACATCCATGAATTAGAGGTTTACACAAGCAGACTTTATGCAGGAACAAATGCATCTTCACAGAACGTATTTAATGTCAAGGCTACTCCATCCCATGGTTTTTCTTTTGATAAGGCCAAAGAGGGTACTGCAAAAGAGAGTATTATTCCAGCCTTTGCCTAGATCTGACAGCAAAAGGTTTCTAGCTGCAGAAATGTCTAAGGATTAAAACCAAGAATTTTTGCACAATGGACAAGTGCCTGTCACACAAGAACTGAATCAAGTGGCACAACTGGCTCAACACTGGTCTTTGCGCTCTTAAAATACTCTGGCAAAGGATTTTGCTTCTTAACCCCTCCAAATATTTTGCTACAATGAACATTAAAACATATGTTTGAAATACTTTAACTAGGATACATATCTTAGCTTGGGGAAGAGTCACATAGCTATTACAAACATGTCCCTACTGCTATCAACTTATGTTTCCATCTCCCAAGGAAAAGCCTTTTACCTGAATTTCTAAATTACTTGTATAATTTTAAGACAGCAGAATAGACCAAAGGGAACACGTCATGCTTCTAGTACTAAAACCTTAAAGAGCAAGACACAGCCTGTCTGCTCACCAGCTTTCTCTTTAATTACAAATACTATGATATCTGAAAGTGTCACTTAATATAGCCTCTTAATGTTCCCCTTGTTTTCCAGGTGACATCCTCAATAATAAAAACCTCTAACATCCAGGAAGTCTTAAGATCACATTTCTTAAAGTCAAGAAAGATTCCAAAACAGCCTACATGGACCCCAATCCAGCAGCTTTATCACCTTTCTCCTATTTGTAGGAGCAAATAGGAGCAAATACTTATGCATGTTAAATGTTTCAGAAGATGTAGAGATAGGCAGTCAACCAGTTTGGCTCATCTTGGCTACTCATGCTTCAGGGGAGGGTACACAATGCCAAAGTTATTACTATTACACTGGCCCAGTGGGATGAGACATTCTCAGGAAGTCACTACCACAAAAGCTTAGTGAGATTAACTGCAATTTCTCTAACTCTTAAGGCTGGATAGAACACTAAGGTTTTAAAAATGAAGCAGCAGTCTGGAAATAGCAAGCTAATTTTGTGCACGTGCATATATGTACGCACACATCTGATCATGCGCAGGCCCAAATTATAAGAGGACCTGCTATGTTATGAGTCACATCACCTCTGGTTCATCTGCACTGCAGTCCATCTGAAACTCTGCTGCATTTCCAACTTTAACTCAGTTACACCTCAGAGTTCAACAAGAAATCCCCACCGTTTAGTCCATGCTATTCATTACTATGAATTCCACATGACAGCCATAAACTACACAGCCAAACTGCATGCCAAAGGTCAGAGTTAAGGTTCTGTAAGCATTTGGGGTTTTTTTCCTGGCATTTCTTACCCTCTAGATGCAAAGAGAGTATCACGCAGTAGCCCTGAAGCTCTATTGCAGAGAAGATACCAGGTGTGAACAGATCAGTATGTAAACCAGCAGGAAGCGTAAGCAGGACATCAGAAACAGCGAGGTTGAAACATGTTTGACCTCTTGAGAAGTTACTCATGTGGTCCCACACTCAGACACTGACACAGTATCACTGCAATGCTGGAGATCTTAAGGATTTAACCAGGTAAACAAAAAAAATTAAGAAAAGAACATCCCTGTAACACTGTAGAGTCAAAAACTTCCACTAATTCCTATACTATGAACCAGATCTAAAAAGCTATCTGCATGCTTTTAGTTTTATTATCTCTTGAACAGATGGGCAAAAAATTTCAAGAGGCACAGTTCTTTGCATTGTTATCCCAGAAAAAAGCCCAACTTCATGTTGTTATTTCACCTTATCCAAAGATCCCTCTGTGCAAACTCATGGAAACACATCCAAACAATGGAAAAATTATGCAAACTGACAGTGCTCAACCTTTCCAAATGGAAAGCTTTCCATTTTTATTCTAATGGCAGAGGTGGGCTGTGCTACTGCTCTCTTCTTGCCATACCACACGACCTCATTGCAGAGGCTAGTATTTCCAGGCAGTATCAGAACTGGAAATCACTACCTTAGCATAGACAATACCCTACCTGGATCAGAGCAGTCCTAGGGAAAGAACTGGGAGCTGGCTACCATCATTACCTTGCCTATAGCC